GAAATTTCTCAGCAACTTTTAGATCACCATGACATTTTATAATTATAGTCCCCAGAGGATGACACCTATGGCTGTACGATTTCACCTAAAATCAAAACACGATTAATTTCACCTCGATGCTATTATTGAACAATTATTTTGTTGTTGTTGTTTGCCCTCATATTTCACTGACAACACAGATTTCACTAATCCAGTAGGCTTCTAAATGTTAATTAATAAGTTAAGTTGCTGCTGCTGAATTATGACCGCTGCTGGTAAAGTTTTACTCAATTGCCACAGTAAAATACACTTTGCTGGCTTCCTCTGGCTTTTATCCAAAGCGACTTACAATTGCTATATATGACAGAGGTCACACGCCTCTGGAGCAGCAGGTAATAAAGAATATACTTTCTTTTCACATGGCGAAATTCATCCTCTGCATTTAACCCATCCCTGAAGGGAGCAGTGGGCAGCCGCTGTGCAGCGCCTGTGTACCAACGTCAGATCTTTACCAGTGTCTGGTCAATAGCTCTGACAGGAAAACCTAACATGTTTTTGGTGGTGAGGGAAACCGGAGCCCCGGAGGAAACCCAGCCAGACATGGGGAGAACATGCAAACTCCGCACAGAAAAGGCCGGGGTAACCGGGGTTTGAATCCGCAACCTTCTTGCTGTGAAGCCACAGTGCTGTCCTCTGGACCGCCATGCCACCCGTTAAACTCGTTAAAAATCCTGTTCCTCCAACGCAGATGGGATTTGTGATTTTATTTTTGTGTTGCTTTCTCTGTGCTGGTGTTATTTTAAGAACTTCCTGGTTATCCAGTTTGTTATTAAATGTGTAACATACTTTATCGTGTGTCTCTCCCTTGTACTTCCACACATCGCTGTGGACAGCCAGGCCTACAGCTTACGTCAGCTGGTTAATTTGCCTAATCCATGCAGGTCTTTAGACCGCGGTGGAAACGCACACAACAGTGGGCTGAAGGAACTTTTTAGCTCCTTGAAAAGAGATCTGGGGACTTAAAGCGGCTTTAGGTTGTGGTTTTATAGAAGCCATTTGTTCTGTTGTTCCTGTTCTACTCTGTAACATTTGTCCTCGTCTGTTGTCGCGTGCTTTACTTCCTGTGTTGTTTTGTAACGATCGGTTTCATGTGTCTTTGTTTAGATTGTTCCTGTTGTGTCTGATTGGTCCCTAATGTGTTCCACCTGTTCCCTCCCGGCTCGTGTGCTCATGTTTTTAGTCTGCCCTGTTCTGTTCAGTCTTCATCACTTACCCATCATTAGTCTTTTGTTTCCTGGTTCAATTCCTCAGCCTGTTTACCATCAGTGGGTTTAAAGGATTTTGACCGTTCTCCACTTGATATTGTTTTTGTTTTTATAAATTATACTAAAACTTTACTCATTATTGTGCACACATACGTTCATAACATCTTAAATTTTCCTAAATACTAAGATAAGTCATTAAAAGCTGAATTTACATTGGTGCCAACGATGTAGCAATCTATAATAACTATGGTTCGTTGAAACGGTCCATTAAGATGAACATTTGACACGATTCAAATGTCTCATGAACAAGGTGCTGTGTATTCAAATCAAACCTGTCATTTAGCCCAGCACACCTGTCTGTCTGTGTGCGCATGACTGTGTTTTTCTCTCATCTGTGACTCCAGTTTTGGACGAAATTTTTCACCAGTTTTTCTCACAAGAACCACAAGAAGTGCAAATATTTTTTGCCCAAGCCGATCTAAGATGTCAGCCCGATAACTAAAGCAGAGTGGGACTACTTTATGTTCCTAATCTTTAACAGTCATAAACTACACTTTAAACTTGACATTTACCTTCAATGGTATCACAGTGTCTCGTTAGTTTAGTTTCGCAGTCTAGGGATCAGTCCACCGATTTGGTCCGCACTGAAATATCTCACAATCATTGTCCCCAGAGGATTACATCTTATTACTTTGCTGATCTAGAGCAACCGCTGGGTGAAAATTAGAACAATTCTATCACCTTGTTTATGAACCAATACCTGCTAAACTAATGTTATTCACATCAGCCTCAACTGTACTTGCTGTATAGCATATATTATATTCTCACATGTAAGCCTTCCCTCATCCTGATTCAGTGTTTTGTTTACAACATTTTTATTTTCCTGTAACACAAATCCGATGGGCGTATAGGAACCCATCACTAAGGACAGATGGAGTGTACATTACATTGCAAAGCAGATCCCCCCCATGACTTCCACACAGAACTTCACATTTTGACTCATCAGCTCACAGGACAGTTTTCCACTTCGCCTCGGTCCACCTTAAATGAGCTCGAGCTGTTTTTGATGCCGTGCTGCCTGAGAGCCCAAAGATCACGGCCATCCAATATTGGTTTTTAGCCTCGACCCTTGCCTACAGAGATTTATTCTGATTTACTTATTTACTTTTAATGAAGTAATGTACTGTAGACAATGAAATCACCAGATTCTTTGCAACTTCATGGTGAGAAACATTATTCTTAAATTGTTGCACTATTTGCTAGCGCAGTCTTTCACAGAGTGGTGAACCCCTCCCTATCTTTACTTCAGAAAGATGGATGTGGGATGCTCTTTTTTTTATACCTATGTTACTAACTTGTTGACAGTTGACCTAATAAACTGTGAGATGTTACACCAGAGCCCCGTTTCAGAAAGCAGGTTCAGCAAAGTCTGAGTGTAAACCTGAACTCCAACCAAGTTTTCGGTTTCAGAACAGCTGATCAGAATAAGTTCAGTCAACTCTGAGTATGTTGAGCCTGACTGAAGCGCGTGCGTGGGGATGAAAAAACGCCATCATCAACGGAGCTCTGATACCACAATTCACCATGGCAACGGATAAATAAAGGCAGATCCTCATTTTAATCGGGGGAGATAGAAATATGAATGCTGCCAACGTGGACCATGATTGGCTCTAAAACGCAGGAGTGGAGGATCGATACGTTAACAATATTACATTTTATAGAGTGTTGCTCATTCATCATTTACCAGACTGGAATTTCCTTAATGAATGATAAAGTGCTGGGATTCTCCACAGCCTGTTATTCATTTTAAATAGCTACAGGCCTGTTTATTCAGCTGTAACCTGACGGGACTAAATGCGGTGGCAATAACTGAAGATGAAAATATTAATTGAACAGATTAGACACAGTTTAGGCTCCTCATGGACCTGTGATTGTAAACTGACAGTCCGGCTCAGTAGGTCTATTAATGATTTTTTTTTTTTGCAGTGTAAAATATGTCTAGGTTCAAACTGACTGTGAAGTTTTAGACGTCTATGTTACATTAATAAAATATTGCTCATTTCGTATTTTATGAAATGTCACAACACACTCAGACTATCAGCAGATAATGAAAGCCAATTCCGACCTTAGTTGATCTAATTTTTTTGTCAGTTAAAATAAGCTGTACATTTTTTTTTATTGTGTTCAATTTATATGTGTATATTTACATTAAGGGGAGCCTTAAGATAAGTTCTGCAATTGTTTAGAGTGAAAGATTTTTTTAGTTTTTGGTTAAAGTAGTAAAATGCTAGATTAGTATGTTTGGGGTAAGATGCCCCCCCTGTCGCAGTGCCCCTTCATGGCTGATCGTTTGTAAGATAGATGTTATTTAGACACTTGACAGGCCCTTTAGTCAACTAGCAACTTCACTATCAGAAAGTCTGAGGTAAAATACCCCATAGAGAGGGCATCTCACACCGTGTGGAAAATGCCTTTTCCCTAAAACATACATTTGATTAAATAGAAATTAATTTGTCAACTGTAGCTATTTGTTTTATTTTATAATATGTTACCCAAAGCATGGTCTTCTTAAAGATACAACAAAAGTCAATAAAATGTTCTTTAATGTGTCAGAAAATAGACATTAAGCTTAGGGGGGGCGTCTTACCCCACTAGCTGGGAAAAATGCCTTTCTCCTAAAATTTACATTTGATTAAATCAATTTCTCAACTGGAGGTTTTTATTTTACTTTATATTGTTACTCTAAGCATGGCCGTCTCCAAGATACAAAAAAAACAAAAAAAACATATAATTTTACCTGTTTTTGTGCAGCTGTTGCCAACCTGACAGCTGCCTTAATGTCCACAGGTCTCTGTGTTATAAAGGACAGTGTAGCTTATAGATTTTATTCAGTGCTGAGAAAACTCTCTGTCCATACATCGATGACAGATTGATCATAAAAGCGGTCGTGTTCAAGATCATGTTTGGGTAAAAAAAAAAAAGCTA